CCACTTAGGCTTTTCTGAATTTTGATGTAGATTTTAATGATGGTAATGAAAATGCAGGAATCTATGCTTCACATTCCAAAAACCTTTTTTCTGACAGGCTTGCTCTTTTACTTGCCAAATACAAAGAAAAGATGATAAAGAAAAACAAGGTTCTGGCATCGAATGTGATAATGAAACAGAAATAGAGATAGCATTGTCTGAAATCATACAAAAAAGAACAGGCAGCTGATTTGGAAAGGAAAGAAAATTCAAATACCTTTTACTTAAAAGAATAAAAATGATAAGGCCTCCGCAGAAGAAAGTAGACTAAAGGCCATGGAGCGCCTGGGGCAAACCAGAAAGAGGAATGCTCATACAAGTTGCTATGGAGTTACTAAGCCAAATAGAAGAGGAAGTACCACTGAAGCTGTGCAAATCCTAAAAGAGAAGTTTAAGAATAAGAAAGAAATCCGAAAGGAAGAAATTGAACTAAAGAAGAAAGAGCAAGAAAATAAAGCCGCACAGCATCAGATGCTTAAAGATCTGCAGAGACAGAACCAGCAACAATACCAGGATGTATTGAGAATCATGGCTGAACAGCAACAAAGGCAGGAACAACAGCCGCAAAACTTTCACATGCTTTTTCTTGCAACAGCAACAGCAACAGAGTAAAATACTCATGGGTTTGCTGGAAAAAGCCTTGCCCACGACCTCACGAGAGAAAGATGAAAAAGCAGTTAAGAAGAGAAAATTGATCAGGAGACTTGCACACCTCATCCCTTTGCGATCATGTTGTGGTTATCATTATGTTAAGTGTTCAGTGCTCAGAGGGTTTTTTGTGACAGTGTCTGTTGAGCTTGTTAGTTAACAAAGTTGGTAGTTATTTCTTCACCTCCTAGATTTAGAAAGTTGTTTTATTTTCTCTTCATAAAAACTGGATTTTTTATTTTTCTCGGGACATAGAATGTTTGCAGTGATCAGAGATATATAGTTAAAGCTCAGATAACTTAAGTGAACCTCTTCATGAAAGTACAGCTGGATAGCTTTTAATTGGAATAGTAATTAAAAATAACATGGTTTCAACCCAGTTTTAAAAAAATTATAATAACCAGTTTTGGACCTGTCTATTAGAGTTTTAGGAACTTCGTGTTAAGATATCCTCCACTTTGTTACATCTTAAGAATAAAATTGAGTCACAGAAATCATTGTTAATCTAGAAATTACATCAGGCAAACCATCAGCAAAGGCTTCATGGTGAGAAACTCCATTGCCTCTAAACTTGAAACACTATCCACCCGTCACTCAGATCGCATTATGTCCATGCATCTCCCTTTGAACTAAGAGCAACACCTCACACTTTTCAGCGTTTACGCCCCAACTCTCCTAGCAGATTCTGTAGAAAGAGACAAATTCTATTCAAACCTGCACGGGCTCCTAAAAGACACCCCTAGAGACGACAAGATCCTGATCCACGACGATTTCAACGCTAGAGTTGGCCAAGACTCAAAAGCATGAAAAGGAGTTCATGGGAGGCATGGAGTACCAACTCACCCTCACCAACATCATCTTCCAGCCAAGAAAAAGCTAGAGAGGAAAAGCTATAAGAAAGTCGAAGTTTAGTGTTCCAGTTCGATATGCCTCCCAGCAATTAATTGATACAACGCCTGTAGCTGCCGGATCTTCTCTAAACACGAGCAGTAGTTTTTCTCCAGACCAAGAAGACCTTCCCCATATTGACCGATATCATAATTTGAGAACCAACAGAAGCTCTAAAAGTAAAAAAGTAAGACTGAAGCGCAAGTTAAAAGCTTACCATGGGAGGAAAGCCACGCTGGCCTCGTCTTGGCTCAATTGACCAGAAAGGCTTTGCCTTTGGGGCAGATGTTTGTCATTCCTTTTTGCGATGAAGAGGCGTGCGGCAGATGCCTCTACTGCAGTCCAGGGCAATTCCTATGCGCAGATCATATCAGTTTAGTTCATGCAGGAGGTAGATCACTTCACCACCCGGAAGTTTGGAGGGTGAATTGAAGATCCATAGAGCACAATCTCCTCCAGTCACCTTTTCAGTTATGTTGTGAAACCCGATTTCATGTGTACTCTGGCCGTTAGGCAATTTCGTTTGTAAGGACGTTGTCTTGTGGTTTAATTGCACAGACATCCATCTTTTTTTTCTGTATATATCACCACTATTCAATAACTTCACTTGATGAAGTTTTTTTCTTAACTTCCATGTGCATTATGTCAGTAAGACCTGACCCATTTTTATACAGAGGAAAAAGCGAAAGCAGTAAGCATAATTTTTTTTCTTGCAAGCATACATGTAATTTGCTCTGTACTCAGAACAAAGTAAAGTTTATTTTTGGCAATTTTGAAAGAGTTGGCTGATTTAAGGGGTGTGTGATTTGTAGTCACCTGATTCATGTAGGATATTATATGCTCCTAGGATGGAAGATTCGTCCCATATCAGTTTGGTGGGTGTGTATGGACTACACCTCACAACATAGATCATGAATATGTGCGTGAAATTATAGCTGTTGGTTTACATGGTAAGTAACTAACAGCAGTACAATATTTAACTATATTGTGAGATAGGTTGCCAAACTGCAATTACCAGTACCACTTTTTTACTATACTTATATTTAAATAGTTAGGTTACCTCTTCCAGGTAGGTCTTTGTTTCTGTTTTGATTGCTTTTTTCAATACAGACAGGAATCAATTAACAAATATTATGGAAGAATAAAACTATGGACACACTATGGTGTTTGTCTTTGTACAGGGCAGCAGCATCCCATCAAAATCAAATGTTGCGAGCATGAACCAGAAACCATAACACTGGTCAGGAACGGTTTCTGGCCATCTACTCCAAAACAATCCCAGGTAGCCTTTGACTATGGATTTCTGTTCCAATACATTTCCTTAGAATGTAGAGTATCTTTAAAGTCAATATGTCAGGCACTGCAGTGGCTAGTCCCACCTGCTTCCAAGGTTTACGTAAGTATTCATCCAGTAATTTTTTACCTTATGCTCATGAATGTAATTTTTTTCTTAATTTACACAATAAATAAATTATTTGTTTTCCTTTAGATTAAGGACATCTGCCGGCTCCTTGTTGGAGATTGTTTCTGCAAGTTCCGGTATATGTTTAGCATGTCGAGTAATCTGAAGCATTTCAATCCTTCTTACGAAAATGATTATGAATGTCCTGCATGTCCTACGGTTTGTGATGAGTCATCATTCAGATGAAATGTCTAAGTGGGTAATACTTACTTTGGGAATCTGGAATATCTATCATTATATATGTTGGCATATGAATGATATAATTTAGACAAGAAACATCATTTTGAATCTTTATGATTCTCTCTTTTTCCCAGTGGTCCTCTATAGCGTGGCAGCTGGTCTTAGCATGAATTATTCCATTGTTTTCATTCATTTAGGCTAAAAAAATATTTAAACATGACATTTCTTATAAGATTTTGGCATCTGATTGTAGGAGAAGGGAAGTTTATTTATCTCTATTGACGCATTGTTTGGATGTGTCCGGAAGTGCAGTGCTGGAAAGTCCTCAGTGGAAAGTCCTCAAATAATGGAGAAGAACTATTCATTAGCCAAAAAAAGTGGATGCATTTCTAGCTAATTACAGCAAAAGACCAACCAGCAAGTCAACGGTGTGTGAATGGGAGGAATTTTTCTCTTACTTTGTGTGTTGTTGCTTTACTCTAACCTTTTGTTACCCATCAGTACTCATACCACTACTCAACCACTGCAATGAGAGACCAAAACTAACAGTTATGTTTGTTGCTTGTAATAATGATGTTAGTGTTGAATTATTTGAATATGGTACAGTTTGAAGGGTTCATTACTTTGGTACTGGCTGTTTAACACTCTGCCCAGTATACACGTAACCCAAATGTATTGTTAGTTTATTATGTTAACTTAATTTATAGGAACCTTGTGAATTGTCAGTTTCAAGAACAAGTACATAATCTTTATTGCAGCCCTCTCTTTTCCTTGATCTTGTTCTATCTTTTTTTCAAATACAGTTTTTCTCTCCTTTTTTGTAATTGGTTTATGGTCTTTAAAGGCAATATCTTAATATTTGCTTTCACAACTAACTCTCCCAAGGGTGTCCACCATCACTCTTGTACTTACTAGCAAATGAAAAGTCACCACATCATGCACACCTGGCACATCCATCTTGCCCTGAAAAGAAACCAACCTTCTGGCGAGCTTGCAGCGTTGTTCAGTGCAAGCTCAGAGAGATCCACAACGAGTAATGGGATCACATGCCAAGGAGAACTCGACTCTGTGCTGACATTGGCGATTACTGAAGACTCCATGGAGCTTTGAAAGCAATATATGGCCCACCCATCAGATTCAGAGTCCACGATGCACCTTCGATGGCCAGGAGTTCCTCACAGACAAGACATCCATGCTCAGCCACTGGTCCAAGCACTGCACTGTTCAAGACCCAGCAATCCTTTGCATTCCTCAGCTACCAATCAGAGAGGAGCTTGAAGAACCACCCACCATCGAGGCAT